GGGAGGGAGGGAGGAGCGAAGCAGGGAGCGAGAGGGAAGGGGGAGGGAGGGAGGGAGGGAGGGAGGGCCGTGGCGATCCTCTGTGCCAGTGAACCGGACGGCGGCTGCATGCTGCCTTCTGTGACTAGCTGTAGGTCAAGCTACGAGGCACTCCAACTGTTGCTGTCGTCTGAGGTTCCAGATCAAAGGGAGCAAGCAGCAGCAATTTCCTCGCCACAGTAGCGGCACATCGAAGCAGGGGTCTCGCCAAACTAGGACACCATCTAGGCCTGGATACTTGTCGTACAATGTCCCAGGCAACTCCCCACCACAGCCCTAAGGGAGGGCAGAGCGACAGAGAGAGCGAGACAGAGGGAGGGTCCCTTCGAGTTCTGTTTTTGCAGACATTGGCATTCGCAGGCACAGCGATGGACATTAGGCTTTCAGCTCTTGCTGTTGCTTCATTGCCGAATCGGGCTCCGAGCTTGCACTCTCGAACTGGTAATTGGCCGGTGTTTTCGCGAGGATTCATTCTGCTAGACGACTTGGTGGGTCAGAATTTGAAGGAGTTGTACAAAAAAGGTGGCACGCAGTACGACAAGAAGCTTGACTGCAAGACGTTTGTCCGGTCTTTGATGTGGATTGCCTGTTTCAAGAACACAGAGGCAAGTCAAAACTCCGAAATCCTGTCGAACACAGCCCGCAGAGCTCTAAAGATTCTGTAGGCTAGACTTGGCCCTGTGTCGCGTGCTTCGTCTGTGTGGCGTCAGCGCTTTCTAAGCAAAGCATGCCCTGCCACAATCGCAATCTGAGGAGTTAAATTAAAGCCTTTTGGGCATCACAAAAGCATGCGCCCGCCAGTCATTCCCTGGTCTCAGCTGCCAGACAAGGACCACGGACGCCGGCCAAGGCACAAGTTTTTGGAATGGCAAAAAAGATACGGCGAAGTGCAAGGAGCGCTGGCATGTGCACGCGGTCCATGGATTCGGCCATGTCATGCTCACTTCAAAGCCCCAAAGTCACATGGCTACGAGTCGCTTCGCTATTGGTCGAAACAGAGGAGGCGGTTGAGGCAACATGTGTATGTTCGGCCTGATGGGACAGCCGGGATTTGCCCTGGGGCTCGGAGGCCAGCATCTACGAGCGACGGACGAACTCTAGGAACTAGACATATCACGGTTTGTGGAAGAAGTGGCATGTGGTGAAGCCAGGAGCGTCAAGACAAGCTCCTGAGCCTTGCCAGCATTGTCGAAGTGACCCACAAGCTTCCAGAACCATCGCCCCAAAACGGAGCACAGCGCAAGTGAACTGCGTGCTCATGACCCTTGGCATGCCTGCCTGCAGTGCTAGGCCTCAAGTCGTCGCAGTTCTTTTTGGCACAAATCTGGAATGGACCTCGCACTTCGAACTTACTCAGATCCAGGTTGCTTCAGGGCGCGGCTGATGTGTAGGGAAGATTCTGCAATCCTTCTGCCTAGGAATCTCTTCGCGGAAAAGTACCGGGATCAGCCGGCTGCGCTGACGGACCCACGATGTGATTTCTGGCGGTGACAGGGATGTCTGAAGTTGCATCCCTGCACCTGCCTGTATATAGCGACTGTTGGGACAAGGGGACGAGAGACTTACCCGGCTCACTCCCTGGTAGTTGCTTTGTTCTCGTCGAACGTGACCGAATGTGGCGGACAAAAAGTCAAGAGGTGCACTTGACCGGACGCAACGAGAGAGCGAGGGTAATGTGATGAGTTTCCGTGTGAAAGCCATAGGAATTATGACAGAGCCTGGGGATTATGTTGTGGTGCTGGACAAGTTGAACTTGCAAGCCCTCGGTTGCGCTGAGGAAGGGATGGTCAGCATCCATGTCGCTGCCTCAAGCCCAAAGTATGTGCAAGAACACGAGTCACTCTTGTGCTACTGCCGCGGAAAGGGCTTGAACCTAGCCTTAATGTAGCGACCGCCGACTTTGCCAGGTTCGACCACCGAAGATAGGGCTGGAGGTGCACTTCTGGGTGGGGCATACTTTGGAAGGTTTGACCGCACATTCCGGCGAGGGTCGGGCAACCACTTTGTGAAAAAGGTAGGCAAAACCTAGACTTCCGCAAGCTGGTGATCTTCGCGGCCTTGGCACTGCCAACAGACTTCTGCCTCACTAAGTTGATGAAAGCAGAATGAAGAAGATGACCATAGTAGATGTTCACGGCAATGCTAGTGATAACTCTGATCAGCAGGAGGGCCGAGGAGCATCTCGCGCGAGCATGAAAAGAACAAGAGGTTTCCAGTACATTGGGCCTTAGTGGGGACTTGGATCGTTTTCGGAAGGCTTCTCGCAGTTCTTAATTCTGCAGCCGAAGATGATCTCCAGATATCTGACGCAAGACTGGTGAGCGTGTCTACCGGGGTCTGAGTGGGGTCCCTCAGTGACCATGTTGGGTTTTCTATTTGCAGGGCTTGGCCCGAAGGACCCGGAAGATCCAGAAAGGACTAAGCCCCGAGCGCAGGAAGGCCACGCGATGAACACCGTTGCTGAAAAGCCCGTGTCTCAGTGGTGTCACAGCTCTTAGGGTGGTTTTTGGGGCCTGCAATGGATCTCGCTCGAGGCGATTAACTTATTGCCCCAGGAAACAGATCCTCCAAACGAAGCTTCTCTCGTCCGGGCCGGGTGTCGCTTGTTGCATAAGAACTGCCAAGCCACGGCTGCCACAGAAGGCCAGTCTCATCCGAAAGCTTCGTGTGCAACACCCGAAGGAGTGGCAAGAGCGCTTTTGTGAAGGCGATGCTGTCAGGGGCCTCAGTCGATTGAAGTACCTGTGCGGATGGCGGGTGAGTCTGGGTTTGTGGCGTTTGTCTGGGTCTTCAAGGTCTGCGCTCACCGCCGAGCGCGCCGCCCACCCGCAGGTGCCTGCGCAGCAGGAGCCGGCCAAGGCAGAGAAGGGCAAAAGGTCGATCTCGGGGTTCACACGACCCGTGAGACAAACGTTTTAAGTGACTTCCACCAGGACGTCCAGGGCTTGCCAGAACAACAGCTAGCAACTTCCCCCCCACACCCCACGTTGACTGTTTGCTGCTCCAGTGTTGATACGCATCTGGCCTTGACTTGGTGGCCAAATGCCCCGGTGCTAAAACACGGAGACAAATTTGGTGCAGACGAGTTTCGAGAATTGTAAAGCTTCAGAAGCGTTGTTTCAGACTTGTGTTCAGCAGCGAAACGCCTGCACCTTGGACCGGGGCACAGGCCTTGCTGCAACTCGCCCAGGCAGGCAATGTCGAACCACAACCACAGACGAGTGCGCGGCAGCCTCTGCAGCAGTTGTGTCGGGACCTCCCTCCCTCTCCCTCCCTCTCCCTCCCTCTCCCTCCCTCTCCCTCTCCCTCCCTCTCCCTCCCTCTCCCTCCCTCTCCCTCTCCCTCTC